CACTTCATCATCTTCCCATTTTCTGAGCATCCCGCTGGATCCTCTGCGACTACATATTTATCGCCACAGCTCAGATCTCACTCTGATCACTTATGTGTCGGTGTCACCAAAATAAAGGAGTAAAGGACAGAAACTGGCCATACAACTAGATTTAATACCAAACCAAGAGAGACCACCTGTCAGAACCTGTTTCATAATCAATTTTCCCAAAGCTTTCTATTGTTTGTGGTGTAGTGTATGCTAAAGGAGGCACGCACATGCAGTCTAACTGCATGTGCGTTTATCTGGCAGATCAACTGATTTTATTTAGAGCACGGAGGTTCTGCATCTTTAATCAACAGGACTACATCTGAAAACTGTCACATGATCATTTTAGCTGGCTCTCGCTCCATGACCCGTTCACGGCTGTTTTTTCTTGCTCAGTCAATTCAAAGTCCCAAAGAATCACTTTAACATGATGTGAACTGGATTTATTAAAGGCTGATCAGGATCAACTGTGACTGCCTGGAAATCAAAGGGATTTTTAGCTCACTGACGGGATTAAATGTCGTCATTTGGAGCTTCACAATAAATCGAATCTGTTTCACTAGAGTGTCGCGTTTCATAACCACATAAGCAAAACTTGATAAACACAGGTTCAGTCCCACATGCTTTCAAATTAGTGTTTGTGGAGCAGTTTCACTGATCCATCATTGATTGGTAGAAAACAGAAGAAAGATATTTCTGCCTGGTTTGAGGTTAATGTGACTGCACTGGGAGAACCGCTCATTTATCTCATCTATATCATTTCTTTTCCCCCGAGCTCTGGCTGTGTATGAGGAAGGGCGAACTACATGAGGACGAATTTTAAACATATGAAACTGCCACTGCTACCCTTCAGCTTCCAAGCAGATACACCTGCAGTATGAATGTCAAAAATCCTACGTTATTGCATTCACAAGATTTTCAGAAAAGGTGAGTAACAGAACTATAGCTCTGAGGTGAAAATAAGTCAAATGCAGTATACTGTTTTAGCTGGTCCAACCACTTACCGTAAAGCTAAATCATTTATCATATGAATCTGTAAATATCTCACTGTTTGCATTACCAAAGGTAGAGGGGATGACAGGGTGGAGCAAAACATTCAAACTTTGTTCAAAGGGCTTTTGGAAAGTTCATACCTGTGAATTCTTGAAGATGTCCTTGCCAATGGTCTCCAGGTCAGTGATGTCGGGGATGCTGCGGACATAGTCGGCCACGGCCTTGATTACGACATCACAGGGAGGAAGCACGAGCTGATGGGCACGCACCTGTGAAAGACAGATTGTCCTGAACGCAGCCAAAGCTTATATAACCCTTCACGGTCACGAATCAATAAGCACAAATGATTTAAGTCAAAAGTAAAAGTGTCTTCTTCCTCTGTAAGTAAAGTACATCTGAGAAGGATTCAGGCTCAGCAGTGTCTGCTGGTTTGTGAACATGTTCAGATGTGTCTGCAGTAGGGCTGCCACGATTAGTCGACTAGTCACGATTACGTCGACTAT